TCACAAAATTCAACTAAAAAGTAGAACCCTCTACGATTCTACTAGCCTAGCCTTGTGGGGTCCACTAGGGTCTGCTAAACTAGCTTCCTCTGCGGTCAATTGTGTTGGTTGAGCCTTTAATCATCCTTTAGGTTATTTAACCTCTTTATTTTGAGGTATTTTTGGCACAGACGTGTTAAACTTGGTGCCTTATGTAGACAAATTTATTTGGATTGGTTGTAATGGGATTGCAAAATTAATGGGACGGTTATAGGAAAAAACCATAAATGAGGTCCAGCCAACTATATTTATCACGTTTCAATGAACACCACTTCAAATTTGGTCCAGTCATCTGAAAGAAAATGAACATGTATATATATATATGGTCATTGTACGCATACGTCAAACAAAGATGTATTCCTACCTTGATTTCGGGTTCAACTAGAAATCAATTCAGGCGGTGGTCTAAGGCCCAATAGGAGAGGGACTTATATTATTTATAATTGAATGTTAAAAATTTAAAAAGATATCAAGATATATTTATTTTTTAATTATTATTTAAAAATTTCACCACTTAAAATTCAGCTCTTAAAATTTTTAATATTTTATTTTCAATTTTATCAAACACACCATAGTTTAAGACCCCCCAGCAGGAGAAGAGGCACCATATCTCATTATATTAATTATATATTTCTTTTAATGAATTAATTATTACTTTGTGTATTATATTAATTACCAAATAAAAATAATTCTTTCTTCTATTGGTCGATTTTTTTTATATTATATATATATATATATATATATATATATATAGGTCGATTTTATATATATATATATATATAAGGAGTATACATTAATGAAACATTTAGTGTATTATTAACTCCCAAGGGCTCTTTTATTAAGCAATACAAATTTCTTTTAGTTTTTTCTTATAATTACAACATTGTTCTCTTTCAACAATTTCACACCTTTGAATTACCAATTAAATTCAATATCACTATTTGTTCAAACTTTTGTACTTTCGTCATTTATTACTCTCTTCACGTAGATTTCAAGATAATTAATCTCACCTATCAAGTTAAAAAAACTTAAATAGTGTTTTTAAATAAAATTTATTAATACTATATTAACATAATCAATTTGATGGAGAAAGCTTAATTTAATTATTACTTTAGGGCTCAAACTGCATCAAGCCAACCCTGCTTGAATTGAGATAGGGAGAAACAACACCATAAAGGGTAATATATATATATATATATATATATATATATATTTCCCTGAAAATTTAAATGGCGGTATTTTTCATAAGTGAAAGCTATAAATAAGGTTACGTGAAAAATTGAAAAGTAAATAAAGACTATTAACAGTTGACTCGATAGTCCAATAAATTAGTGTCTCATCTAAATTATTTTTATAATTCAAATCTATAAAAATTGCAAATAGCTATTGTATGTGAAGCATATTGCAAAACCACCTTCAACAATTTATGTCAAATATTTCCATATGGATATATATTATACCATATGCTGCAAATGCCTAGCCATAATAAGGTATAAATGCATTGCCAACCCCCAACCCAACAATTTCTTGACCTGTTTATACTAAAATTTGGTTGTTACCTGTACACCACCTAGTTTTAAATAGCTACTGTATTTGATTTGTTGTTCAGTTGAATTGTTTTTTTAAAACCATCTTTCGAGAACCCACCAAAGAAACAAATGGACCGGTTACTTTTAAAAAGCTCCAAACGGGATGTGTTTCAGTTTTTACTGACTAAAATTTAGGACCGGTTATCTTTTTGGAAAACAAAGTCTTAGTCCACGAGTGGGAAAGAAGTCTTGATTGAGGCCATTTTGAATGCTTTACCTACATATGTTATGTCTTCATTTAAGCTTCCCACTACTTTGTGTCAAGATTTGATGAAACATATTCGTTCCTTCTGGTGGTGTAATAAAGACAAACATCGGGCGATTCATTAGATTCATTGGGATTTGCTTTGTCGGAGTAAGTCTTTGGGTGGTATTGGCTTTCACGACCTGGAAGCTTTTAATTTGGCACTTTTAGCGAAGCATGCTTGGAATTTTCAGGTTAGGAAGCAAGGTTTGTTGTATCAGCTTCTTAAGGTTAAGTATTTAACATTTTTGGATGCTTCTTTGGGATCTAATCCTTCCTGGGTTAGCGTAGTGTTTGGTCTTCTCAACCTTTATTGAGACAGGGTTTACGTACGCTAATTGGGAATGGCATTTCAACGCATATTTGTGATGATCATTGGGTCCTTACGCTTGATCGGAAACTTTCACCGCCTCACGCTCTTAGTCCATACTCTTATGTGGCGGAGTTGATTGATCCAGTTACGTCTACATGGAAAGAGAATGTTTTGGCTCAGTTATTTTCTCCTATTATAGTGCAGGAAATTCTCAAAATACGCATTAGTTGTTGGGCTAAACCAGATATTGTCATTTGGGCTCCGGAGAGGTCAAGTAGATTTTCAGTGCGATCTGCTTATCAATTGGCGATGTCAAGTACTCACTTTTCTGGCCTTCCATTTCAGTCTGTGATTGGTCCTCTATTTGGCGGTGTCGTACTCTATCTAAGGTGCAACACTTTTTGGCGATGTTCTCTTCGTGCTTTGCCAGTTCGTGTTGCTTTGTTGGCTCGAGGGTGTAATGTATCGCCTATTTGTCCTCGTTGTGGTTTACAGGAGTAGACTGTGGTGCATCTTATCTTTTCGTGTCCTCATTCCATTCAGGTATGGAAGCTTTCTCCACTGCGTTTGGATTTTTCAGGCCGGTCTTTCCCTTCTTTCCGGGTTAGTTGGAGTTTTCTTTTGCATTGGGCTATACTCTCTTCGAAGTTTGAGGGTGTTCTTAATTTGATTTCTTTTTGTGTTTGGGGTATTTGGAAAGCTCGGAATTGGTTGGTCTTTGACGGAATTTTATGGAGTCCGGAGATTGTGGTTCACAAAGCAATTGTTAGTTTTTGGGAATCCAAAGATGCTCGGTTTTTATGCTCCTCTTTACGTCCAGGCCAGCACTTTCTTCAGTGGGTTCTCGGTGTCCTCCTCCGTTAGGAATTGTCAAATGTAATTTTGATGCTTTTTTTTGTCGAAGGTCGTTGTTAGTGGGTGGCGGCGCTGTTTTTCGGGATTTTTGTGGAGCTATGCTTCAAGTAGTTGTTTTTTGTCCGTTTTTCGCTTCTTCGTCTCTGCAGGCGGAAGCCGTTGTTTGTCAGCGTGCCATCCTTTGTGCTTTTGAGTTAGGTTTCTCTAGTATCTGGTTTGAATCGGATGCCCAAGTTGTTGTGGAGGGAGTGTTGCGTGGCGACTCTTGTCCAGCGGAAATTGTTTCTATTTGCTTTGATATTACTCGAGATCTTCGGAGATTTCCTTCTGCTTTTTTGACTCATGTTCGGCGCCAAGGTAATCGGGTGGCTCATGCTTTAGCTGCTCTTTCACACCCTGGGCTTTGATCGGATCAGTTTTTGCCTGCTCTTCCTCCTTCCATTTTGCCTTTTGCTATAGCGGACGTGGCTTGTTACTTGTTTTGTTTTGCTTTTGCTTTCTTTCTTGTATGTCTTTGCCCAAAAAAAAAAAAAGGGGGGGGGGGGGGGGGGGGTTCTGGTACTATTTAAAATAAGAAAACACTCTCGTAACATGCAAATGTAAGATTGTATATATCTAATTAACTCTTTCCCAACTTCATAATCATGAAAGTGGGAAGTTTCATGCATTGAGTTTGTCCAGAAAATTTGAATGACACACAAGCCAAAGGATTGGATAAACTCAAGGATACAAAAATTACAACAACTATTTGCTTTCTCATAGGTAGGAGGCAGTCTCATGGTAGGTGTTATAAGTGCCCCACATTGGATCCGAATGAGAAAGGTATATATTGATTGAGTGTTAATCTCACCTAATAGTTTAGGTTTTTGGATCAAATCGCGAAACACTCTGTTTAGACCCAATTCTTGATCCGATGTTACGTCCAGCCCGAAAAAGTCCGCATACTGTCGAGGCACTGAATTATCACTTCTAGCTTCTTCTTCTTTTTTGTCACCCATTTTAAAAATATTTTCTACTTTTCTATCATCTAATCAATAAAGGCTCTTATGATTCTTATCATAAAACACACATGCATCCACACATCTTTTGAACCTGTTTCAGCACACAATATTCCTGTGGGAAGTTTAAAATAAGAAAACACTCTCGTAACATGCAAAAGTAAGATTGTATATATCTAATTAACTCTTTCCCAACTTCATAATCATGAAAGTGGGAAGTTTCATGCATTGAGTTTGTCCAGAAAATTTGAATGACACACAAGCCAAAGGATTGGATAAACTCAAGGATACAAAAATTACAACAACTATTTGCTTTCTCATAGGTAGGAGGCAGTCTCATGGTAGGTGTTATAAGTGCCCCACATCGGATCCGAATGAGAAAGGTATATATTGATTGAGTGTTAATCTCACCTAATAGTTTAGGTTTTTGGATCAAATCGCGAAACACTCTGTTTAGACCCAATTCTTGATCCGATGTTACGTCCAGCCCGAAAAAGTCCGCATACTGTCGAGGCACTGAATTATCACTTCTAGCTTCTTTTTTTTTTTTTGTCACCCATTTTAAAAATATTTTCTACTTTTCTATCGTCTAATCAATAAAGGCTCTTATGATTCTTATCATAAAACACACATGCATCCACACATCTTTTGAACCTGTTTCAGCACACAATATTCCTCCTATACGTCACTTAACTTACTCAACCACTTTTTAAATATTTCTCCAACTGGTAGCAGATTGACAGCCAGAGCAGCGAAAAATCATGAAGTCCCGATTGTCACTATTGAAAGTAGGTCCACTTGGTCCTACCAAAAGTAGTATTCCAATGACACAACTACACGTGTAATCTTTGGATTAGCTGTGACACCAAAAAATCGTGTAACTACCTGTCATTTGAGCATTCAATTAGTTCTATCCTCAACTCCACCATGCTATAAGTAAACAAGCCTAGCAAAAGAAACAAACTCATAACACATCACAACCAAAAAAAAAAAAAAAAGCATATGGGAAGCCTTCCTGTCATTGAAGACCTCAAGGTCACTCTCCATGACACCTCCCTGGTTTTTCCATTTCAAGAAAATGAGAGAAAATCCATGTTCTTGTCAAACATAGACCAAGTTCTCAATTTCAATGTCCAAACAGTCCATTTCTTCCCGGCTCACCCGGACTTCCCTAGTGAAATTCTGGCAGAGAAGGTCCGAACCGCGTTTTGTAAGGTACTAGTTCCCTATGATTTCTTGGCAGGTAGGTTGAAACTGAATCCTGAATTGGGTCGGTTTGAGATCGATTGCAATGGAGCCGGGGCGGGCTTCGTGGTGGCCTCTAGCGAGTTTACCTTGCATGAGATTGGTGATTTGGTTTATCCTAACCCGGGTTTTCGACAACTTATTATCCAGAGTATGGATAAGTTGGGACCAAATGATCAGCCCCTATGCATTGTCCAGGTATAGAATTAAAGACACCTTACTGCATTTGTCCATGCGATTCATATTGCCATGCATTATATTCCATGTTGGTTATATTCTATCCCTCTCCTTATGACACACATTTATATGAAACGTATTTGAGTACTGAAATCAAGTGGATCCATTTAGAAATATAGGTTTATTGAGGTAGCCTAGTGCACGCGGTTTTCATCGCTGCAGAGCAAAGGCGGATGTAGGGGGTTTTGGTGGGCTTGAGCCTTACCATAGGTAATTTTAGTCTAGCCAAAAAAAAAAATAACAAATAAATAATAGTACTAATAAACCCCAAAATATATTAGCGCACTCCACAATATATTATCCGCCCTTGCTGCAGAGTCTAGAGAGCATCAGATGCGGGCAGACTTACTTACATAAGTAAGGAGAGACTATTTTCAATTTCAATCTATAATCTTTAGTTCCAAAATGAAGCAGCCTTCTAAGGGACCATTTAATTTTTTTTATTTTATTAAGTAGCCTAATTCTATTTGGGTGTTAATAAAAACTGCAATTTTGAAAGTCCATTCGGTTGTATCTGTATTTAATTCTTCCTATGTGTAAGACCACAAATGTGACCGTATGCACTCAAAAGGATAGGGTAAAAATCCCAGGCTAAATTTTACAAAAGAAAAAGTCATCACGAGAACGTCTCTCAAGTCTCAACCATAGGACAGACAAAAAGGTTTTTCCGAAACTTCCCATGATTCATCATCTCTTACATATCCCTTTTTTTTTTTTTTTTTTTTTTTTCTTCTTCTTCTCCTTTATTTTATTATTTTTTCTTTTTGAATTCGAAACTCTCCTGGACAGGTAAGATCATTTGGATCCACCTCAATCTATAAACTACGAGAGTGTTACAACTAACCCTATAACGACAATATCATTAAATCAAGAATTATAATAGAAGTGTTGAAATACGAAATCAAAATATATTAAAACCCAACCTCTTATCTCATCACCATCGCCCTCACCATCACCAATCTCTTGAGTCCTTTTTTTTTTTTTTTTTCTTGAAGTTATCCCAGTTGGCCGGGGTGGAAGTGCTCTCTCTTTCTCTGACACACACATTGATGTGACAAATCTTCTTTGGGGTGGTTATAGTTGTGAGGGTGTGATCCGCCTGAAAGTGTGATGTCCTAATAAATGCCACCAATCCATGCATGCCTCTCCTTCAACTGTTCACGACAAGGCATTTGCCAAAGTCCATCTTGACGGTGCCATGTACATCAGCTTTTATATCCTTTGTCTACCATCATAATGACATTCCCGCAATAGAAGTAGGGGATAAAACTTTTTAAAGAAACATTATTGCATTGTCCCTTTTAAAAATTATTGTATATTTTTTTAAAAAATTAAAAAAATATTTTTTAAGTTTAAATATATATATAATTAAGTTTAAATTTTTTTAAAATTTTTAAAAATATTTTATAAAAAAATGTGAAATATGTTATTTAAATTTAATAAGTGGACAAGTATTTTAAGATAATAAAAAAAAAAAAGATGAATAATTATTATGGAACGAAAAGTGTAATTTATATATATATATATTTGCAACAGTTGTGTTGATGTTATTATTTGCAACAAGTGTGTTGAAGTCAAACCATCTATAAATTCAATGAAAAACATATACATATCTATTATCTAAGGAGAAAGAGACTATTACCACCTACCATAGTAATTCAGTGACTTCTCTTTTATCTAAAATATTAAAGGTTCAAATTTTCTTAAGAATATAAAATGAAGTTGCTATTGAAACGTTTCTAATTTTAATCAGTGCATTCTCATATAAGAAAATTTAGAATTAGTAATTTTAATTTTGTGATCCAGAACTATTCCCATCACAATTAGTTCAGTTAAATCAGGTGTCTCACATAGTTGTTGGCTCCAACCCCAGCTAATTGGTCCGCAATTATGTAGTTGGTCAGAAACAGAAACATAATTCATTGTACTGCCAATACAACCAAAATGACCAATCATTATTCATTTTACAATAAATACCAACCATTCACAATCGTCCTTACCCACCCTAAAAAAAAAATAAAAGTAATAAGAAAGAAAATAATAATAATAATAAACTATCCACAATGGTACCTTAATGTTGAATAGCTCTATATGACCGCATTAGTAGGTCTACCGTCCTCTATAATTAATAACAATATTAATTAGTATCTGTTCGACAACATTGTCCTTGAATGTCACTCTTTCATTATTTTACTGTCTGTTTGGCAAAAGAATGAGCAGAGGGAAGGATGGAAACAGAATGAAAGGAAGAAGAATTTAATGGGGGAGCTTTTATTTGTTTGATTGGAGGGATTAGAGAAAGGAACGGAAGAGAAAAACCCCAAAAGTAATTGCTCTTTCCACCCACTTTCTTCAATAATGTTAAAACTAACATTGATACGGAAACTAGACCATATAAAAAAGTGATATATATATATATATATATATATATATATATATATATATTCGTGTTGTACATGCAAAAAATTCTAGTCTTGTAGAGCTGTTTCAACATTCATTGAAAGTAATTTATATAACTTACTTTGGCTTTTTCTTTTTTCTTCTTTTGTTAGATATTAATAAGATTTAAACCTTTAAAACCAGAAGTGGTTTATATAACTTACTTTGGCTTTTTCTTTTTTCTTCTTTTTTATAATTCACAGCAGTGAGGTCGGGCCTCGACGCAACAGTAAGATTATTTCATTGTAATTTGGTGGTCACATATCTAAACAAAAAATAATCTCTTGACATACTAAGTGTCATGGGAGAGTTTCGTACATTGAGCTAGCGTTATTTTTTATTAAATTTTTAAAAAATTGTTTTTATCCGGTGATTAAATAAAGAGAACTTCTTGTCCCGAGTTCAATTTTAACTAGAGTGCCACAAAAAATGCAGACAATAGCTCTAATGTCCATGTTAACTGTTTGCTTGTTACAGGTGACATCATTCAAGTGTGGTGGTTTTGCAATTGGTATATCAACAAACCATGCAACATTTGATGGGTTGAGCTTCAAAATCTTCCTCCAAAACCTAGCATCCCAAGCTTCTGACAAACCCCTGCTTGTCATTCCCTGCAATGACCGCCGACTCCTGGCCGCTCGATCCCCGCCACGTGTCACCTTCCCTCACCCTGAGCTGCTCAAGCTCAAACTCCCAGGCCAAGAAACCCCAAACCCTACAGTCTTTGATTGCCCTAAGGAAGACCTTGACTTCAAAATCCTCCGGCTAAGCTCCGGCGACCTATCTTCCCTCAAGGAGAAGGCAAAAACCGGAGCAATGAACGCCGGCAAAACCATCAAGATCACCGGCTTCAACGCGGTGACGGCGCATATCTGGCGATGCAAGGCCTTGTCATGTGCCAGTACTACAGAAGAAGAAGCCCTAGAAAGGTCCTCCACCGTACTTTACGCGGTGGACATAAGGCCGAGGTTGCGTCCACCGCTGCCACCGTCGTACACCGGGAACGCGGTGCTGACGGCTTACGCGACGGCCAAGTGCCGGGAGCTGGAGGAGGGGCCCTTCTGGAGGTTGGTGGAGATGGTGGGAGAGGGAGCTGGTAGAATGACAGATGAGTATGCAAGGTCTGCCATAGATTGGGGAGAGGTGTACAAAGGGTTCCCACATGGGGAGTTCCTGATTTCTTCATGGTGGAGATTAGGGTTTGCTGAAGTTGAGTATCCATGGGGGAAGCCAAGGTATAGTTGTCCTGTGGTGTGCCACAGGAAGGATATCATCTTGCTCTTTCCTGACATTGAAGGTGTTGACAATGATGGGGTCAATGTTTTGGTGGCTCTCCCTGCTAAAGAGATGGTGAAATTCCAAACCCTATTCCATAAGCTCCTACCATAAACACACACTATCTCTCTCTAGCTTTATGGGTGTGAAATATATATAGCGAGAAAATCTTTCTTGCACCGAGAGTACCGTGTCGATATCAGTGTAATCAACCAATTATGTCGGGTGAAGAAATTATTAGATGGTTTAAGACCGATTGCTAGTTGACACTCGAACAAAAAGCTGAATAAAGCTAACACGTTGCCTCTGTGTGTTTCAGCTAGTAATTGGCCGAGACCACCATCTACTAGTTTTTCGTATCTTGTCACATAAATAAGAATGTATCTATTTTAGTAGGTCGACATATCACTACATGTGTCGGTGTTTGGTTAGTGGGTGATCCTATCATCGCTACTTGATCCCGGCACAATAAAGATTTTCTTGTGTACTTAATTAGTGATGCGAGTTAATATATTTGTGATACAATATGAAATTAATGGATGAACTACTGCATGTGATTAGAAGTGTTATTAAGTCAGATTGATGGTTGGTGAGGACTGATTGAAGTACTCTTTTCTGCATATCACTGGGATTTCAATAAATGTATGAAGATATGCAGAATTTTGTGTATGCATGCATGCAGTGTTAAATGAGTGAATACATTTGTTCATAGATATATATATACACATGCATGAAGTGCTAATAGATATAACTGTTGCTAGCAAACTGTGTGACTATATTAGAGCTTTAAACTAAATGAAAAGAGTTAATGTGGAAACTATAGCTTGCTTGATTTAGTTTCTTAAAACAATTTTCTGTTTTCAGTGAATTAAAGAAGAAGAAGAAGAAAATAGTTCAAAATTTGTTTCCTGACAGTTTTCAGAAAATTATTACTCTCTTACAATTAATGTATAAGTTCTCTATTGATCTTAATGTTTCTGTTGAAAACAGAGTACAAAAGTTTAAAATTCCATGTGACTGCATGTGTAGTTTCTATTTACTCATTTAACATTGCATATGCCAACGATCCCAATAATGTTTTAAAACTATACAAACCAAATAAAGTAATATTAATAATCATAAAGCGTTTTGAACTCCTAGGACAGGTTTGATTCAGTATTCATTAGTTTTAAGCGTAAAAGATTTATCTTTGGGCAGCTAGACATTCTACCGACTAAACTACTAGAAGATGCCCGTGAAAACCAGTCCATGACTAACATAGTTTTAATACTATGCAAGACTGTCACTTTGAACCAAAAAGTAAAAGAGATGTCCTGATGCCGATCGGCTTTTGAAACCCAATTGTCCATTTCTTTTGATTGATGTTAAGAGCCCAAGTTTTAGCTCCTTAACTACTAGGCCCATTTGGGATCCATAAAACTAGAAACTGCATATGGTACTTTTCAACTTATCATTCATTGTCCGCTATTTGTTTTATGTCAAGCACACAAGGTATTTTTTCATTCAAACTTATAAATAAATATATATATATATATATTAGAAAAAAAACTTCCACTAATATTTTAAAATTTGTATGTGTTTCTCTCTCATATATTTCATTTATCTTTGTCGAGCCTCTTTGAACATCCATAATCCATTATATGTAATCTCCTGTTCCACATACTCCGAATAATTATAAAAAAATATTTGATAGAAGTGAAGCAATGGGATTCCAATTCTCAACCTGCATTAGTCTATTCATTTGGAGTTTGGAAACTAATGTAGAGACATTCTTAAGTTTGCAAATCAGTTATTTTTGCCACGTGACCAAAATTCTAATTTTTAAAAACTTCAAAAATAATTTTAACCAAAATAAAATTAGATCTAGCTTAGGTTGAGAATATTAAGAGTAATGATACATCTAATATCAAGCTTAGGGCTGTAGTAAATGCAACCATCTAAGCCATACTGAGACATACTGTCCTTTGAACATTATCAATCCTGTAAGACAAAAGCACAAGGTCTCACAGCTGAAAACAGCAGTTCAAACCAGAAGGACCCCCACTTACTATTTATTGAATGGGTTAAGTGTGAGGAAGAAGAAGAAGAAGAAGAATTCATTAGCAATCAATGTTGCAAAGCCAGTATAGAGCATCCCATCACACTTACCAACAACATGTTCTCCACATTATCTCAACCTGAAGCTGACACCACCCCTATAATTGAAAACACCTTCTCCTCTCCATCTTCACCCTCCCAAGAAGCTGCCATCCCATGTATCCTCATATAACCTACTGAAACACATCGATCATCCCCTCATTTACTCCATCATCATCCTCAACTCCCACTCCTACACACTCCCCTTTCTGACCAAAAAATCTCAACTTCTCACAATCCATAAGTCCATCATCCTTTTCCCCTGTACATCACACTCTATCTTCAATGCCAGAAACAAAATGCTCCAAATTCTATACCATGGACCTTACAAACTATCACTCCTACCACATTTCCACATTTCAAGAAGCAAGGAAGAATGAAGCTAGAGTCCAGTAAAAAAGGATGCTCCCACTCACATCTCCTCTCTAAGTGGTACACAAGTACTCAAAATATATCATTTACAAAAACACACAATAAATTCACAGATATCGAAACCAGGAAGGCAAGCTATTGACATTGCAAATAAACAGGAATTCTGATGTCGAAAATGTCATGCATTTTGCATTTCAAAACAATATGCAATCTATTTACAACTTGTGAACGAACATATTATGCTATTCAGATTCAACAAAACTTCTGCTACCTACTAAGTTAGGAAAGGTAGCAGTTGGAGAACTGAAACAGGAAAGCTTCTAGCAATTACAATAAGAAAAAACATAGCTAAAGCTTTCCCACCTCAAATTATCCCCAAAAACATTTTTATTCTGGATTTAATTCAATTTTGACTATGATCTAGCACTAGAGATCCATTTACGTCTTTTATACTAAAACTTCACAAAACTTGACTATTACTTTTTGAAAAAAAACATGTCTTCATGCTGATATGCGTTATAACCCAACTGTCTGTCCAAGTTTTAGATTCTTGTGGACCTTAGCTACTAGGCCCATTTGGGATCAATAAAACTAGAAAATCCAAACTTGAAATGAGCCCAAATTTGATATGCTTTTCAGCTACACTACTTCGAAAATCCTATGCTGTTGTTGCCTAAAAGTCAATTCTTTTGGACTTTAAAAGTGATCGTTCACCAATTAAAGTACATCAAAACATTTGGACATCTCATGCGTCTTGAAAATGTGGCCGGATTCAGTGTTGATGGCGAGTTGCGAATCAGTGTTAATGGCGAGTTGTACGTGAGTAATTGTGATCTTTCTTCGTAGCGCAACACGCATGTTGTAATCTAGACTTTACTAGCATAGTGACTTTGAACATCTTATTCATATTCAATGAATACATGCACATATAGTACATTTTCATTCGAATCTATAATGATTTAAAAAATCTCCCACTAAATATTTTAAATTTGTATGTCTTCTCTCTTGTATCTTTAATTTGTCTTTATTTTATTAATTCTACTTTACTTTATATATAAGTTTAAAAAAAATAATTTTCAAGTTAAAAACATAAACCTGCTTGATTTGGAATTCTGAAAACTGTTTTCAAGAATTTAAAAAACTACAGTTTTTTTTTTTTTTTTTTTTTTTTTTTTTATTTTTTTATTTTAAACTAAGTTTTCAAAAAATAGTTGAATCAAATAGAGTTTTTAAACAATTTTCTAATTTTCAGTTATCTCTTTTCAGAGTTACAAATCTGGCAAGTTCTAAGTTTCTAATTTGAAAAAAGATTTCTTAGGCTATTCCCTCAGGGTTTGGAAACTAATACATACACATTCTAAAGTTTGCAAACCAGTTATTTTTTTTGCCACTTAACCAAAATAAACAATTTTTAAAAACTTCAAAATTAATTTTAATTAAAATAACTTCAGATTTAACTTAGATTGATCATATTAAAATTTTAATTTATCACAATATGTCTAATCTATGTCATTCTCAACCATTGATTCAATAATCATTGAAATATTTATACCCTAGAATCTAGATCGTCGGATCTTCTTCTTGTTGATCATCTTCAATTAATACACCCAAAGCAACTAAGAAAAAAGAAAAAAAGAAGCACATAATAATAAATTTGATGTTCTTTGACATGTACATCTTCAAATTTGTCTATTAAGAGATCCTTTGACGTAGTTTATTTTTACGCAGAAGAGAAAGAGGAGTATAAGTTATCACTTTTATTTAGCTTATATTTTAGTATTTGAAAAGTATATTTTATAAGAGCTTTTAATGTTAAAAGAGTTTTTCAATCTAGCAAAATATTTGTTGCTTGAAGCTCTTTTACTAGTGAAATAACTATTTTGTCCATAAATGGAGTATTTTTTTGGGACTATTTGACAACATAAAATACTCTAACCTATATTTTTTATACAACTCTTTTATGCACGGATCCGATCGGAGGGGATCACAGGACTCATTCGGACGTTTTGAGGCACTATTGACAGCAACTTAAAAGTATTTAAGTTAATATTTGTTCATTTCTTTAAATATAATATATTATTATTCAATTACGGATTGTTTTTAGAATATTAATATAATAATATTAATTCCTTACATAGAAAGATCGGTCAAAATAGTGGAAACAAATCATTTTGACAATTTTAAAATTGATCGGTTAAAATTGACAATTTTAAAATTGCAAGTTGGAGATGTAACCCAAACCAATATTTATCCGGAATCTTGGAACTTTGGCGCAATTAACAAATAAAATATAAGAAGTCATTCTTTGTATAATTTGGCACCCAAACTACATTAGTTAGTCAGACCCTGGCATTGTTCTATATTTCATAGTCCATAAATACAAAAACAACAAATTCATGGCTTCGTTCGATACCAGTGTCTTAATGGCAAGTTAGAGATTACAGCATTCAACAGGATATTAAAATTCAAACCCATTGCCTGTGCCAAAAAAAAGGGTGGGCTTAAGGGGCAAATACTACACTTTCATGAATTCAAAGTCATGAAACAATAATAAATGGATGAACCACACAAACTATCTCAGCTGAATGGAAATTACCAAATCTCAATAAAACAACCCAAAAGATTCTTAATAATAATAAAATATATGTGAAACATAACGGAGAAGCTTATATTTACGACGACAGATGGACTAACCATCAGCAAGCACAAATAGTTAGCGCATAAATAGATTTAGCAGTTAACGCATGACATGATGGATTGCTTATAGTGTAAACGAAATTGTCCATTGAATGAAGTCCTTGTTCAAAATCTTCATCATTATCGATTTCGTTATCAATGCTTTCGATATTATAAATACTTTCATTATCATTACCGGAATCATAAATACTCTCTAGTTCATATAATTCTTCTATCTGTTCTTCAATATTTTCAAGTATATTAATTTTTTCCTGTATTCTTTTGATAGGATTCTATTTGTGTCTATAAGGAAAATATGGCCTTATATGACCTAGATCTCCACAAATAAAACATTTACAACTTCGTTCTTCTGTAGGTAATGTGTTAATTTTA